ATATGAAAACAACTGGCATCCTGCGTGAACCGCGACCATCCAATCGTACGTGAAGGAGTGGCCCTCCGCTGACTCCGTCCCCACGTGTAAAAGGTACATACATGTACCTCATTCCGTCGGCTGAAAAGGAGTTCAATCTGGGATTTTGGGGTCGGAGAGATCGCACCGGGTGTGATCTCACCGACCCCGTTGCGTAAATCGAATTAAATGTTTCTTCTCGGGTTTTTTATCGCACCCCGGTGCCATCTCTCCGGCCGGAGCCAACTCTCCGACTCTTGCGGTATCTGTCTTCTGTAGGGGCATTGCCCACATGAGTTACACCATGTTTCAAATATCGGACAGAGTCGTGTGGCTCCCGGAGCAGAAAAAAAAAAAACTATAACTAACACCAATTGGTTCTCACCTGAGATCCAGCCATTGGCTGAGCTGCCGTACATACCCCTGCTTGGTGAGACCCGTGGCGCGCATGCCTCGCTCTCGGCACGCTTCCTGCACGAAGATGCAACGTAGGCAATTTGGCAAGCAGTAGACGACGGCAGTATTGGGTACTATCATTCTTCAATACGAAAAAAAAAGAGTCAGAACTGGATGCCCCTGTCTCCCTGAGAGCAAACGCACTGCGTGCATGCTCTCTCATAGACCGGCGTGCGTGTCCTCCCGTCTGGGAGACGCCAACATTGCGTAGAGCAAGGAACGAAATGTCAAAGGACTCTTTGGTTTAGAAATGGCACCCATGGAAAACCACAAGTTGGTCGGCGCCACAATGGTCCGACTAACCTGCAGCTCCTGCTTCGTGAGACTCGACACTCCTTCCCACAGGATGCGCTGGTCGTCCTGTAAAACAGAAAACAAACGCAAGCAGGTCACGCTACGTGAGCAAATATGGTTGCATGAGACGTTGTGCCGTGCTGTCGACTGCGCTTCTCTGTGCGGAATAGAGGAGGTCCATACTCCCTGCAAGTAGCTGCGAACCTACCCTACCACAACTGTTTTTCACCACGTGCGGGAGAGAGGAAGCCTCGTGCCGTCTCACCTGCGTGATGGCTCGCAGCTTAGAGCGCAAGCAGTACCGCAGGAAATTGTCGTTTCCAAACGGTGGGACTCCCATGTACCGGCACATGTTCACCAACCCCGACCGTGAGATGTTGTCCATTGTCAGTTCGTCCTGCGCGAAGCCATCGAGCAAACAGAGCAAAGTGGGAACCCAAGAGTGGGCGACCGCATTGGCGACATGTTTGGGGGTACTCAGCACTCGATACTGATCTACGGGGATTTAGGGGGGTTCGTGTATCATTGGCGGTATGTGTTGGTAGAGGGGCGATCCCCCTTTCTGCTGTGCATGGGCTAGCATGCCCGGCGCACTCGTTAATATACCAAGGTCTTGAGTCAACCTTTCTTCTCTGCGCTTCTGACAGCAAGCTGCCCGCCTCCAAACAAAGTATCATAGGCGACGAGAGCGAAACGCGGCGACAGAAGCACATAACACACTTGTTCTTGACCTGATGTCGGCGGGAAAACACATACTGAGGGTGCCGGCTTTGCGGCAACAAAAAATTAAAGCCGTCGTCGTTGCCTTCAAAGGGTGCTCAAGGACATCACAAGCGAAAAACTGCCGATCGGTACAAAGGAATTTCATGGGGACTACGTTACCCTCATGTCTATCCAATCGACACAATCGAAAACGAACCCTACCTTGAACATCTTGGCGAATTTGGGAATGTCCTGGTTGGTGATCTCTCCCATCTTGGCCTTCTCTATGAACTCTGTCAACTCCCCGGTTGTAGCTTCGGACTCCTCGCCATCCTCCGCCCTGCCAGCAAGTCACCCACATGACAACATCACGGAAACACAGCAATGCCGTCTTCAGCGAGGTCTGCATACAAAACACATCGTGACACATGATCCTATGCGTGTGTATATGCTTCCAAGATGAGGTGCCCAGAATTGAAAACGTACAGGTGTCCGTCGGAGCACCATACTTTCGTGCCTGGTTTTTTTCTTGACCGCCATCGCTGTCACCGTCTCCTGGAGGAACCCAGCGTACGCCATGCGCAGTCTCAGCTCTTTCTTCAACTTCTCTTCTTCTTTGAGGTTGTCCTGTTATTGTGGTATGGGCATCGGCATACAGTCATCAATATTGACAACAGCGACAATCACGGGTTGTATGATATCAAAATGATTTCGACCATGCCGGTACAGCGAGTGGTGCCGTATTGCATTCACGTTTTGAAATGGTGTATCGTGACCTGCAGGAGGTCCAAGAGTAGAGGCCGCCAAGATCAGCGGGAACGCAGACATGAAGGTTTGAAACGTGTTGTTCCTGTCGGCATGTGCAGCATTTATGTGTCCGTTTCGATTGCTATCAAGTGTTACCACAGATATCACTTCGAGGGTGCTGCCCACCTGAAAATACCGTGAACAATGCCCTCAACCAACGATATACACAGGGTGTATCGGGTTTCTGTCTGGCAAGTGTACACAAATTTACCAACCAATGTATGATGGGGCGAGCACCTCTTGGTTGCGCGTGGGGAAGGGGGCGTGTGCCTGCTGTTTTCATTGATTCAGTCATGGATTCTCTTTACAATACATTTTTCTTAAATCGAAGACTTTTTTCCTGGCTATTAATCTAAACTACAACCGCGTACTACACGACAGGCAGGATCGGTCAAGCTACGGGTGTCATCTACGGGCCAAACTTGCTGGTGTGGCTGGCACCGGTCAAGTCATACCAGCACCTGTCCATGTGAAGAAAGCAGCAAGGAAGTCATGAAATATGGCGTAAGTGCCAGCGTGCAGTCCCACCTGCAACACGGTCGATTGACAAGCCATCGCGAAAATGCGGAGATCAGCGTTACACGCGATGTCCCGGATGCACTTCACCTGGAACGTTGATGGCAGCATGTTCGGGAACACCTTCAACGCCACCGGCAGGAGAAACTCCATGAAGGGGATCAGCACGAACGCCTGAATGGTTGCGGCAAACACGTCGTCGGAGGGAAATAAATTATGATGACACCGAGGGCACTGTGCCCATGTGCATGCATGCGCACACAACCACAACGACTCGTCCTTGACGCACCGCACCTCGCGTACAAGTACTCCCAAATAACATCCAGCATTGAGGAGATCTCAATTCACCCCGGTGGGTATATCTAGGGGCGAACACAACTGTCTAGTAGGTCTATTACTTGTATCCCTCTCTTGTCCACAGCATCACACGATTGTCTGTCATGAAATGATGACTCGATCAACATGCATATGTACTGCCATTGCCTCTTCCCGAGTGAATCTCAGGGAAGGAACTGCTGAACTCTCTTCGCCTTAACATAAGGTATGGCCGCAGCGGCGTTTCTTTGTGCCCATTGGAGAGGAGCTCCAAGGCCAGAGGGATCCCAGAAACTGCGAGCAAGGAGAGTAAACCCCAAAAATGATCGTCTTCACACGCCATGTGTTAGCTTGGAGAGGGTGGTGTCGCGGAGCGACGGCTACTATATTTGTCGTTCACTGCTTCTTTGTTGGATTTTGGCAAGACATCGGGGATGACGAAAACAAACTCAATTTTCACGAGGCTCACCGCTAGGGGCACCATCCGGAAGATGTCGCTGACTGTCCGAAGTAGCTGCTTGCGCTCCCTTCGAGTCATTGGGAAACCTCTGAGGATTCGTCTTAGGATCTTCTTGGCCGTTTTGATGTCACCCCACAATAGCTTCAACCCGAGCCAGTAATGTCGTCCAAACTGCAGTCAAGCAAACAACAATTGACATCACGGCATGCCGTGGATGTCAAAACGACATGCAGCAACGGCATGCAGCAACGGTCGGACGGATCGCTTGGAGACTACTAGCTGTCCCGTTTTCACGCGAAAAAAACGGTCCGTGCGTGAGAAGGGCCAGCCTACTAGCATACCTCTTTGAGATGGTACTGGGCTACGCCCAGCTTGTCCTTCAGCACGAGGGGGTTCTTGATGATCTCCCAAAGGAAAAGCACGATCGCCTTAGTCGCGTTCCACGTCATCACTGGAATCTTCTTGACCATGGCAACAACCTTCTTCCGCGTCAACGCCATCTGGGATTGCTCCACCTTCGAAAGGACACGCGGGAACAACCAACAAACCTGCAGTAAGCACACCACCAAAACACGCGAGACCATCTCTCTCTCGCCAATGACACCGCTCCAAAGGAGAAACTATATCAGCGGCAGTTGGGCAACGACCAGGCCGACGGCGAAACACCCTGTCCCTGCCCCAACGGCAGGGAGGATTTCGATTGTTAGGATCATGACAGGTCCTAGCAACACAGACAGCCTCCGAAGGTAAAGGGCATTGAATCGCCGAAAAAATCAGGAAACACATCGGTCGGTTCGTAGCCACCAGTAGTGCCACGCCATGGTGACGTGCTCGCTGGGAATGTTCATGAATCTGTCGGTGAGGGCTCTGGCATTCTTGGCATTTCTAGGGAGGCCACCCATCGCTTGGGAGAAAATTGATAGTTAACGGCGTGCTTAAAAGCTCGAGGAAATGCGGGTATATTTCAGAGGATGGGGGGGGGACCATATTTTGCTTGGCTACCCTTGTCGAGATATGTTTTATCTCTCGTGCCCGGCATGTCTGCGACGCCAGACTGTCTGGGTTTCTAATTCCGTTTGCGTTCATGTATGTGGGCTTTTTTACTTGTCGCTTCGATTTTCATGACACGTGCCCCGTTGGGGATTCATACTGTGACCACGTACGGATGTCGGACGATACTCTACAGAGGGCAAAACGGTGTTCAATATAAAGACAACAGCATCATCATCATCCACACCAAGAACAACATTATCAACAACAACGCCACCTGCTCAGATGCTTGCTTGGGGTCCTTTCTGGCCGCCTCGTACAGCGTGTACTCTTCTTGCAGGTCCTTGAAGCGCTGTGCTGATTCGTCCTTGACCGGCTCGATCTCTTTCTGCTCCCCAAAGAAGGTACAGTAGCCGTGTCGGCGCGTCAGCGAAATTACACATCAAAATCCCGTATGATACTCAAGGGACAGCGGCAAGGACACGTATTTCCATGTCTGTCCCGGAACCCTGGCAAGACAGAATGTAAAACGTTCAAGCTCCAGAAGAAAATGCTAACATCTACATGGTGTCATTGTATTGGGCCGGTGTGATGGTCGTCTCTTGTGTGTGTCACAAAGTTAGACACTATCGTCAACACATTTGACACCAGGTCAGCACGGTTCGCTTGAATCAAGTGGTTGAACTGTCGGCTCGAGTTAAATCCACAGACCGCATGGTGGCCGGTGAATATTGCGAACGTCCAGATGAGACGCGGAGGTTTGTCACCAGTGGTGTGTGGCACCGCTGCAGAAAAGCGCCTTGCCTTCCTCGATGCATTGTACTGTGAGGTGCGCGCGGGGACAAGTTCGCTGCGGACTCTGGACTGTCGTGTGTACTCGGGGTTGCCTTGTCTTTGCTGCTTACGAACTGCATGTATGAAAGAACGGAGGGGATGGGACGATTTGGAAACCGATCAACACTATCTCCACCCCATCATACCACTGCTGCGCCATCCGGAGGTCGATGCACACACGAGGCTTCCGCAGCGGCATCAAAACGCAGATGGCAGGCACAGGCAGGCTTCCCAGTAATACCCCCCTCCATCCTACAATATATACACTACCGAAGTATGTAGGCTATGCATGCGCATCAACTCACGGAGCCCATGCAGTTAGACAAGAAATGGGCACCTGTTGTAAGTCCCTCAAACTACCAGCTGTTCTCGTAGTTGCGCCATGAAAATGAGTATCGACTACGGCAGTACGTACACCCGCCAAGAAAAATCCGAAGCCGCTCTTTGTTAATTTTGCGCCCATCGGTTCGGTAAATGACTCACGCACACACCGCCGTAGGGCTCTGGGCTCTAGGCAGGAAAGAAACCCCACAAAATAGTCGTTAAAGAACATTAATATTAATATACTATGTAAATATTAATATACTATGTAAGTACGATCAAGCCCTGGACAGAGACGCGCGCCCACGACCGATACAATTGGAAACGTATGTAGCCACATCATTGCCCCATCTGGAAGGAAATTCAAACTGGGCAGAGAGCTTCAGCATGGACTGGGTGCTTCATGTGTCGGCGGGTTTTTCTTGCTGCAACATGATGCAACACACGTGATTTGTGCCGCCGCAGCTTGCGCATGATCTTGTGTTGCCAGTGTTGCCAGTGCCGACCAAAGCAACGACCACTAACCCCTGCACAAGGCACACCAACCAAACAGCTGCAGCTGGGCGCATTTCCTCACATCGCTTGGCTTGAGCAGATCTCCCAGGGACGCTCGCTGCCGTGGCTGTAGGCCCGTGCTCTTGCTGCTGTCGGACGATTCCGCTTTGACGTCCGGCTTAGATGGTGTCGAAGAGGCAAATGATCGAAGTGGCTGCGATTGCACAAATCCACTCCTGTGGTCCCACTCATTCCCTAGGGCTCCCCAGAATGGCGACGACCCTGTCGAGTGTGCCGAGCGTAGAAGCAAAGCCCGCTCACGGTCAAAACTTGACCGAGCGTCACCCAAGGCTCGGAGGGCGGCGCTTTTCGGATTTGCACCGCGCATAGTAGTGTTCTCGTTCTTCCAGTTGCCACTAATGCTGCCCGAGTTCTTGTTATCTTCCTCGCAACCTCTCATGCCTGGTAGACCCTGTGTCTTTGCATGGACCATGCTGTCACCTTCTCCCTTCCCCAGCGCATGGCTGCCAGCGCGAAAGTGTCCACGTTGATGCCACCCGCTGCAAGCGTGCTCGGCACTCCTTGGACTGCCGCTGGTCGAGCGACGAGTCGATAAGTGCCTTCTCCAGCCGTTTGCCCCGCGACCGATCGTCTCCGAGTGCGGAGGCAATCTGAGCAGCCTCACGTACGACATTGATGGTGAAAAATAACAACGCAAGAGGAGACACAACGCCGTTGTGGCCGGAGACAATGGTGGAGGTGCAGTCGCACCACATCATCACATGGCAAGGGCGTGCAGCGGGGGGCTCCGTGATTGATTGTCAATCCATCCGACCGACCCTCGTCTGATTCATTTTGATCATGATTGCTGGGCTGTGGTGTGCCGTGCCTCTGCACTGAAACAAGGGAGGGATCAGGGGTCGGGGACCGACGGTGGTGGGCGGCAATCAAATAAATATGTTTCGAAAATATTTGTGTACATGCGTTGTTAAAAAGTACAGCCGCAGTTGAGATCGCTGTATTATGAGCCCAATCAACAACGTCGCTGCTCGTGAACACGAATGTATCCCACCACCACATATTTTTGCATCCCCCACCAAGAGCTCGACCGCACGTATGTATGTATCGCGGTCACCCATCCTCCCCTTGGCGTGTCTCGGCTGATAACCTACCAAATGTCGTGAATTTATTCAATTATTGATGCAAATAGAGTACAGCACTGGCACGCATAGTTTTCAACAACCAATCAATCCTCTTGAGCGCAAGCGATTATTATTTGCAGCGAAAAACATTGACATGTTCGTGGGCAGATCGATCAATCTCAAGTGTGCACCCACGAAACCCGACGATGCATGTATGTGTTCAATGTGGTATACAGGACCAGAAGCCACCCCATCGCGGGGAAAACGCGGTCTTCCTCTACGGTGGCTGCTTGATCCCGAAAGGCGGACTACGGCAGCGGCAATACAACAGTATCGATCGGGCGGCCTTGGGCTGCCTTCGTCGATCGCGACGCCGTCGGTCCGTCGGTCGTCGCCGTCGATCGCCCTTCTACAACAACAGTATGGTAGGTATTTGTTCGAATGTACAACAATGCTTATCTCAGCTTCCGAATCCCCCCAAATGTACTTCCCAGGGCATCATTCTCGCGGCTCGTCTGAATCGTATGGTTCGCCTGGGGTTTGAGAAGACAAAAAGACTCATGCTGAAGCACAAGGTACACTCGCTTACGGGCAGCATGCTATCCTCCAAGGGCTTTCAATCTACAGGCCCCCTCGACAAGCTTGGTTTTCTCTTGGACAGATTCCGCAATCAGCACATCCAGCAAAACACATGCGGTCCTTTGTCACCTCAGGTCGGAGCTCGGCGGTAGAGAGATCATTAGATGGTGGGATGACTTAAACAAGAAAAATCATGCGGATTGTCTTCGGTTCCTTCGATCATTTCAGTTTGTTGATGAAACTGCTCACACACGGGCTTGTGCTAGACATGACGGAACACAAAAGCAGACCAAGCGGTAAACCAAAACATGCTTCCGCCGCATTTCAGCGCAAAAATATTACACGCAATACTTGGCTTATCCCTTCCATCACACACGCTGGAAGCCAAGATATGGATAGCCAGTGGTTGGGGAATTTTCGCGTCGTGACACTCTGTTGCGAACTTGAACTGTTGTGAAAAAACATGAGCTGCCGCGCAAGGCGCCACAACACTCTCAAATACATTTATATATATATACCACATCGCGAGGCCAAAGCTGATGGTTGACCTGTGCGAAGCTATGGCAGGATTTTCAGCTTTTGTCCCCTCTTGGTCTCCAACTACCCCGACCCCAAGCGCCTGGCCCAACCTGCTTCCCCGCTCCTCCTTCTCCATAAAGGAGGTCAACCATTTTGTCAAGTTCGTCTTTGGTGTACTTTGGCGCACCAAACATGTGCGCCTCGCAACTACTAGCGCCATTTTCACTTTCTCCCAGCCCGAGCGATCCAATACCCCCCTCCCCGCCCTCCGACCACGGTAAACGCTCGATCTCGTAGCCCTCCTCGTCCGAGGAATATTCGTCTTCGTCTGAGTAATATTCGTATCCATCTGTGCGTGGAGAGAGTGGGGAGCAACACGCAAGCGACCGCGAACGTGCGAATATTCAGCACCCGTTTCGGGATGGCAATTCCGTACAACGGGAGCAACCTTTTCCCTTGGGCAACCCGATGTTGGGCGAACTGAAGACAAACCACCCTTGGCATATATAATCCACTAATCACAACAAACTGGGTGGGTGTGTCCGGGTGGGAGAAAACAATGCATGACGAATAGCTACCGACGCGTTTTTTCTTTCAGTCAACACTTTCGATACAAATCCACCTAGAAGTCCACCTTGATTCACCCAACCAACATTCGCTTCAGCAAGACCGTAGCATACAAATCGCACCCTGGTCGTCCCGAAGTTCACTCCCAAGGTTTGCATCCAGCATAGCGTCTAGTTGCTCCTGGATCTGTTCCAGCACAAAGACGTACAGCACAGGATGCGAGCGGAGGAATGCTATCAATTGAGCGGCGGGCAGTAAAAAAAAAATCGGTTACGAAAAGACGAGAAACGCGGAAAAATGAAGGGATTTTCCATGTCCCAGTGGTCACCTGTCGGTCAAGCTCTTCGTCCATTAGGCGGCTTTGCTCTTCTTGGCACTTCTCTAGTTCCGCCATCATCTGGGCATCCAGCTGCTTGTCCAAATCATCGAAAATTTGACGTGAGATCTCGTCATTGACCTGTTTCGAGAACATTCAAGCGCCCAACGCAATGCGGCGATGTATCATCAACTGCAGCACAGCGGTAGGTTTAATATCCTTGCCAGGTGTTGCATAGAATATACCACCGCGAGGGTTGATATTTCGTGGAAATGGATGAAAAAAGTTCGGGAAAAGAGCAAGGGCTCGCGAAGAAGATGCCCGCGCGTTGTGTCATGGCCTGTAGTTTTTTCCTCTCTCCGTCAAACGACGTAAAACCCACAACGTTGCTACAGCAGTAGTGCAAGTGAAGATTTTCCACACCAAAACTTGCTCTTACGGAACTGGGGTATCGAAGACGCCACGCCATGACGTGGGCCCGAGGCTGAAATGAAGGCAGTCACTGGTCTCGGCGCAGGCCAATGAAAGACAAAATAAAGGATTGGACGTATGCCATTGCTTTGAATTCTACGTATATATGCGAAAGATAGTTACTGCAGTAGAGCTCTTGGAGCTTTTCCCGCGGTCAACCTTTACGTGACTGGGGTAATTTGATTTTTTTTTTCCCCCACAACTGGCTCTCTGCGGTCAAAGATCTTCCAAGCATGCGTGTACACCCATCAATCACGGCGGCATGGATGGTGCAGCAGTGGGTCCATGTGTGGGGCTCACAGGGATGGGGGCGCGGTATATGTAAGGGTGAAGAACGGGAGTACAGTAGTACTACTGCTGTACAGCAGTAGCAGCTATGCGAATAGAAATACGAGTAGACTGTTACAGCAGCAGTAGTTTCTGAGCAGGTGTGCATGCCTGTCTCCGACAGCAACGGTCCGCACAGAGGATGTACCTGTGCAAGCAATACCTGTTGGCACATCTTCTCCACCTCATCCTTGGACAGAGCATAAGGCAAGCGCATATGCTAGCGGCGCTAGATGCGAAGGCGTTGACGGGAAACCGCCTCACAGAAGGGCCAGATCGACGAAAAAAACGGCCCGCTCATCAGAGAATCGAGACCATCATCCACTATCGCACAAAATGCATAAAAATCGAGATAAATTTTACTATTCTGTACTACAAATAGAGAGCTGTGATCGGAGCTGTGATCGGAGCTGTAGTCCCGAAAACCCTTGCCTTTGAGCGAAATTTTGCACACAGCAGACGAACCACCCTTGACTCCCAATACTGGGAACCACACGCACCGCAATCACAACAACATCAAGCACAGAAGCAGTACGTTAGCATCGGCTCCGGTGTGCGCTTTCTCTGCTCTCCCCCGCGGATGCGGCACCGGGTTGATCACATGTCCAGGGTGCTGTATGTACCCTCCGGTGGTATTTTGCGTTTGAACCTTACAGTACCGGTAGGCCGTAGATTGGATCTGGAAAGGATATCTGCCCCACGTCAGAGAGATTAGGCATGGGTGATTAGTATTGTACTATGTGAGTTCTGTGCGCATTGCTGATAAGCGTGCCTTTGGGGTGGGCTGTCTGCGTTTCCCTGCTGGTCTCTATGTATGTTTTTTGCTGTTAGCCGAGGCACAACGGCGATCTTTCGGCACGCAAAGTGATCGGAGCTGAGAACAGAGCTGAATCGGCCTGTAGTCACGTAAGGGTTAAAACTTCAATATAGTCTTCTTACAATTTAACTTTTCTCTGAGAACGCTTCATTTCGCCTCTTTCGGCTTCTGTGAGCGCTCTATTCCGGTTTTCTCGGGCTCTCACAGAGCAGCATTTCCTCTGGAAATTTGGCGCTATGGTGGACTTTTCATTTTTGTCTTCCTCTCTCGCCTGCTGCTGTCACCTCGCTCTGTACCATCATACCACGCATTCCACTCGAAGTACGGCCCTCTCCTCTGTGTGTGCCTCCTTCTCCTCCGTTCCTCCGTCTCTCTATGTCTCTGACGGTCTGTCTATCCACACTCTCTTTTCATTTTCGCCTTCTCTCTGGACCGCTCTCGCGTCGGAATGGACTGATGTTTGTGCCGATGGTTGTTGTGCTACTGCTGTACATTTTTTTCTTCTTCTCACACCTCAAACGGTATGTACATTTTTTTTTCTTCGAACACCTTCACACGGTATGCACTCACCTCTTCACCTTGGTACCGTATCCTCTCTCTCTCTCCTCTCGGTGTATGTGTGTGTCCGTGTATCCACGTTGTCTTTAATTTTTTGCTTTTCTCACCGCTCTCGCGTCGGAATGGTCTGTTGTTTCGTAGTGCTATTCTTTTTTTTTGCAGTTCATGTAGTGCGATTGGTAGTAGTGCTGTCTTTCTTCATTCGCAGTTCAGCCGACAATTTTGTGTATTTTTTGCAGTTCTGAGTTCTGGATGTGTATCAGACAATGGAGGGGTACCGGGCACGGCGATGGGAAACAAATAATGGACCTTTACATCTCCTCAAATCACACACGAACCTCCATCATGGAAACTCCACCTTCACGAAAACTTTAACTGCCATCGGTGCCTACCTTCATTTTAACAACATCCTACACCCACTTTCAGAGAAAACATTGCCTTGGAATCGCTTCAAATAAAGCGGGGGCGCGCAGCGCCCAACTTGTAAGCTACTACAACTCAACGCGTGCATCAAGTAGGACCTTACGGAGAGGAGTACTGCTGTATTCGCCTGATTCCGACAGGGGCGACCACGCCGTTTGGCATTCATACGGCATCAGGACGGGGAAGGGTGAAGGGAACACAAAAGTGCGCGTTGAGTGTATATAACTGCTGTATTGATGCCGTCAGTGCCCGTCAGGAGTAAACGCGAACGACGGGCCAGGGTGTTACCGTCAGCCCCACGTCAGCGCGCAGGTACATGCAAGTTGATGTTTCGACAGTTGCACATGTTTTCGTGGCGCGCTCCTCGGTGAAGCGGTGGACCCATGCAAGTACTATTCCCTTCGATATCCCGCATAAAACCAATCAATGAGCAGAGTTTACCTGGTCTGAAAGCGCTTTCCACGGGTCGTGGTCTTCCACGCGACTGCCGGCTCGCATCGGCCCCCTTGCCGATGTCTTGGGTACACCGGCCACACCCTTGGAGTCGTCGTCGCTGCCTTCCGATGTAGATGCGAGTAATCTCGCGAGGAGGGTGTCAAGTGGATCATTGCTTGCCTCTAGACCAGGCGTCTTTGCCGCCGGCGATGTCATGTGCCCATCAACCTCACGATCACGTAGCCAAGACAAGGTGGACCTGTGCTGAGAGAGTGTGCCGTTGGACGCAACCTGGCAAGTGCTGCCATCGCCCCTCTCCCGCCGTACGTACGCATACCTCCACAAGGACATGATGTACGGCGCCCCTTTGGCACCAGAGTTTTTTTTTTTTCTTAATATGATTGTTTGCGATCGATGTGTCAGTCTGTGGCCACGTAAGTAACAGCAGTCGTCGTAAAGTTCGCGTCATTTGGGCCGCCAGAGACCGGGAGGGTTTTCAATATGAATATAACAAACACAAACAACATCAACCTCAACACCACCGCAACAGATACGTACATCACACGCTGTGCTGTTCGTACTTATTTTTGTTCACTCGCTCGCCCGGGTGTTTAGCAAGTAGTAGCGATCGCTTATTCAGTTGGTATTTGGTGGTATGCATCCAAAGTTGTACGATATGATGTAACCTGCTCATCGACAATTGTACATTTGGCGAGGGCCGACATCGCAGTCGAGAGGTCGGTGGCGCGAGCGGTGATGATGCTAAAAAGCAATGACACGTCTTGCTCGGGAAGAACACGGCTCTCTTTCCTCTTTGCGGCAACCTCGACAAGGGGTGCCACTTACACTCACTTTTACTTTCACTTTTTCTTCGCATCTCCCCTCGAATAGACCCTTCATATCGCCAGGGCAACCTTTACGTACTCTTTAACGCTCCAACAATCGACAAAATCTCCCGGCTCTTTACATTGCGGGAAGGTCCAAAGAAGCCCGTTGTACGCTCTCGATGGGGATTGGTCCGTCCAAGGTTGATCAATGATTGATTGGTCGGCCGTTTATTTAAATTATCCCAAAAATCCAAGCACTAGCTGCGTTGCCTACTACTCCTGCACGTATCCACAAAATCCCTTAGGTCCTGAGTGACCCCTCCCCCCCCCCGCAAACTAGCTGAAACACGTGTATCACTTCGCTAATACGTGCTGTGCTGGGTTCTTTACCAGGGAAAAACTGCCCCACAAAAGAAACAAGCCTCAGCGGCGCGGGGCGCACCGTATTTCTATGAACAATTGGGAAGGGCACACTCTCAGCGTCACATGCACAAAAATCTCATTCTCGTTTGTCAACTCTTGGGAGAGCCGTGGCGCGGTGACATGCAGATGTCGCATTCGACGGATAATCCGGACATCTTGAGGCCGGCGACCGCTTTCCAAATCCCGCCGATCAGCTTGGGGCGCACTGCAGCAGCAACCGCAACCAAATATCTCTTTCCAACGCCCTGGCGTATGCCCAAAGGGACCCTTTGCATCATAGCGACACGCAGCTTAACGTAAGTTGGCGTGGGGACAAGAAGAGCATGATCGGTACTCCCCCGCGCAAGCTTGCGTTACTTGTAGTCCCGCACAGCTTTCAGAGGGGGCAACAACAGCAGCGCCACCACTTGTAGCCGCGAACTTTGCAAGGAGAAGTTGCTGCCGTCTCCAGGAGAGACCAGAGTCTACAACCAGCCGAAGCAACTCAGATTTTGTCAGGGGAAGAATCCTGAGTGCTGCTGTTTCGAAGAAAGGTGGTACGAGTAAGACATCGCCCCAAGTAGCACCGCCGTAGAGAGTACGGCTGCAGGAGATGGAGAGACCTAGGGCAGCAGCACAGAGTGGGGACAAACATAGCGTAAGGCTAGCCATCAGCAACAATCTTCTACAGGTTACCACGGGCATCAGCAACTGCATATTGATTGGGTCTGTTGGCTACTGGGAAGGGACATGCTCGCGCACAGGGTTGAGAAATGGGACGTTTGCCTCATACTGTACATGTACCTCGATTGACTTTACGTCCTGAAAAATGTCCGGTTCGGTCGCAATCAATCCTCCACTTCATGAATTTTTCGACTCAGTCCTCTTCACTATCGGTACATGTCCAACCCCCACTCGACTTCCTGTGCATTCTCTCTGGCAACTTCCCTCCTTAAGCCGGGATGGGTTGGCATCGGATGGCATCCACACACTCTGGCATCAAACAACACCATGCCTTGCGAGCGTCGACGGCTTGGATAACTGCTTAGCCGTTGCGCTACCCTTTATACCATGATTCAAACTCCCTAATTGCTCCATGTGTAGACAATTACGCCTTTGCACCCTTTTTATTGTATATGATATCTTGCGATCAGCAATGAGAGAAACCGGTGCCCGAGCGGAACCCACATCCTTGTATCTTGTCTGGCGCTCACCAGGCACGTCTACAAACGGCCGATTCCGGAAGCGTAAATACCGTGTAGCCATCAAGCCAGTCTAAGCTTCTAGGTCCGCTCAGTAACGGTTCTGGTGAAACGGCTCGGCTTTCACCTCACGGCGATTCATGATAGGTACAATCCCATGTGCTCCTCACGGGCTTTGTAAAGACACGAGGGCATTCCGTTCTGGAACAACAAAGCACCCCCCGGTGAAATTTTTTTGGCTAATCATCGGGCGTGTTGATATGGCTGTATGTTCTACACTACAGCCCTAGTGCTTGATCTGAACGAAGTTTACTGTTTTGGGCTCATATTGTTGTTGTTGTCTTCACATATTGATCCGTACCAAAGGTTTGCACGGTGTGGTGAAGTGTGGAGGTTGTTTTCAATATACCGAATACCATCACGATAGATGTGAACGTTCAAGCTTCCAACACTACGTGCCGTGAGACAACATGAACGGCCAACGTTCACCTTCTTCCAGTTCGGTCGTATTCGCAATGCCGACAATATCTTCCTAGCCAGGCTTGCCGACCCTGCCCCCGGGTGACAGGCTTTGGAGTACGCCGAAAGCATCTCGTCCGGGTTCTCCGCTCCTGCTAGTTTTGCCGCTCGTCGCCAATGCTTAGCCGCCTTGCCGATACGTTTCTTCCCCTGCCGTACAGTGTCGAATTTCAAAAATACCAGTAAGAGGAGTGCACAAAAAAATCGGTGGGGGCGCGAGTGCCTGTGTCAGAGCTACTCCTGCTTAAGGCCCAACAGTCTCTGTACAGACAGACGTGGTATGGTTACCAAGTTGTGCAAGTGGCACTCCTGCTAATACGCTAACACGACGCGTTTCGGTCCTTGGGCAGTGTTAAGTCTGTGTGTACCAAAGGCAAGGGGGGTTGGGGGTGAGCTGCAAAGAAGACATGCCACCTTCGTGGAACTGGAGAGACTAAGACAAAAGTCGAAGTAGATGGGAGCGCTTGACATCTAGCACGTTTATGAAATACGAAACTTTTATACACAAAGGCGGTACTTGCAACTCACGACCTAACCTTGAAGCATCTATCGATCATCTCTTACCTCTTTCTCTCTGCTCTGCTCCAACAGTATCCAGTCGGGAAGGGTAGTGCCAGTGAACCATGGTGGAGGAAACTCTAGCGCCGTAACTCTTTGGTGGAAAAAATAAAAACATTCGATGCGAACGAGAGGCAGGAGTTCGGGCAGGAGGCGGGATAAACACGTGTAAGACTGCACAATACAACGAGAGAGACGAAGAGACAGGCTATCAGGGAGAACGGCCAAAAACGGTCGATTTGCATCACTTAGATGACGATGGCAAAATAGGTCGTGGGACTAAGACCAGACAAGCCCGTTCAACATTGACGCAAACTCCGACTACCCATCGAACAAACTCAGGAGATGTTCGTGTTCCTACTACCTTCCAAGAAGCGCATTTTGCCGATTCAAAGTCGGAAAACTCCGAACGTTCTTGCGGGAGACACGCCTGGGTTGGGTATGTACAGTATATCGCTCCATGGGAACGACACAAGCCACAGAATCAAAGACACCATTCAAGACCACAACAGCAGCCCCCTTGCAAGTCACTAGCTCACCCTCCGGCATCAAGGGTTTCCTTGATGTAGGCCGGGGCGTGTGTTACCAGCTCTCGAGGAGGGCATTTCAGGAACATCCCCTTGGCCTTCTGCAGCACAGCCTCCCAGTCCTTTACCCCCTGGGTACACATGAAGGTAAACAAGCGCGAAATCGTCTGAAACTCGACCCGCGTGAACCAGCCATTTTTATGTGTGGTTGTCCATCTGTAGGAATGAACAAGTTCTAGCCTGCGACCAACCTAGTGCCTTACATTGCGAGCAACTGTAAAAACTGGAGCATTGAGCAAGAGGTGCATGAACAAGGCAGAAAATCCATAAAATATCTTCCATTCCCAAAAACGAGTATCGGAGCCATCGCACAGGGGGGTCAACATTGGGGAAATACCGCGTCGGGCATGAGGGATCGCAAGCGCGGAAATTTGTATTTGCTTCTTTTGTCGCGTTTGGGCCATTCGCCAACCGTCAGGGGGTCCAGTTTGTTGCAGACTCACCGTAGTAATAGTAAATCCGATTTGGTTTAACTCTTAATCCCACAAACGCAAGATATCGTGCACGGAGTGAAGCAAACTACCAGAACACAATTTTTTGCTTGGATTGCTGCACAGGCACCAAGTTCATCGCAACAACAGCGTTATCGCACAGGGGGGACCAAATAGACCAGAAATCAATGAAGGAAAAAACGCCACCCTGTGCAACAAATCGCAAAGGCATTCCTGGTGCGGTCAGCTTCAAAGTGGGTACGTGTGTGTGCGCATGTCTTCTTCAAAAGTCAACATGTGACGCATCAATGCAAGACAAACGAATCACGAGACACCACCAGAAATTTCAGCTGGTCAGGGACTACAAAACGAATGATGGCCACTAGCTGTTCTTTCGTATAGGTTTGCAGAACTGCCAAGATATGCTGTCCAGGCAATCAACCATTGCCAGTCCCCATGCAGAATCTCAATCTCAGGGTATCTTGTGTGGTTTCAACCTGATCCTCTAGCGTGGAACCATTTGCTACGTGCATTCTGGCGCCACATTGTTCGAGCTGATGCGTATCCCACATGATGGGTTGATGAACAAATACCCTCCCCGGTTTGCAGATAGACCAAGACAGACAAAGAAGTGACATCAATCGCACGCGAAACGAAGGCACAACGACCACCTGGAAGCAAAGACTGTGATTATACCGACTAAGTGATGGCAGCGATTGTACATGTTTCCAAAAGTAGGACACTCATACACCAGTATGCTACACTCGCTGGAATATTGTTAGTGAAGACCCTCACCTTAGCCGCGTGCGAAAGGGTATTGTGCACAGCGGAGAACTCGCAGTCACAAGCGAGCACTTCCTCTCTCGCGGTGATGACCACCTTCATGTGTCATTCATGATTCATGCGGTAGAGCCGAAAACAGAAATTCACCAAGATACGATAAATTAAAAGAGGTGAAACAACATGGTTCCCAGTGCATTCCCTCTTCCAAACGCAAGCTAAATCGAACGGAGAGCATGCAGGGCGAGTTTTGCGAAGACGAGCTGAAAAGGCAATGGGGCTGCACCATAAGGCGGTCTGGGCCATTTTCTACAAAATTGTAACGTTCATTCTCCGGCGCATGTGTGTGCACTGACCCCAATACATTCCGCGCTTCGAATTTAACACGCCGTAATATGTGGAAGCTCCGAAAACATTCACCACGTCTAATCAACATTCGTTCATAGAACACTTCGTGCAAGCTTGGAGAAAGAGCGGGATTTCGCGGCCAGTACACATATCTGCCCCGCCCCTCACCCTGCTTCGCGGGGCCCGACACTCCCAAGACTTGCAAAGTCGTTCTCAACACAATTTTATTGGAAAACTCACAGCCGCACAGATGTAGAGAACGAGGGTGGGATGAGCCCCAAGGAGCACGTCGTAGAGCCTCGACACGCTCTTTTGGTCCTGGAGGTCGTGGGAGAACCACGTCAGCACCCACGACATGCAGTAGTACGGTTCCACCTAAGAATACATGGCGTTGAGAGAGGGGCCGGCGAGGGGCGAAATATCAGCGCGAGAGCGAAGCGGGGGAAAAGAAGCAAGACATAAAGAGAGGGCCAACGAAGGAAAGGGAGGAGGTGTGGATGTGGATGTGGGGGGTAAGGAACTTGCAGAAAGGGGTAAGAATAGGAAAGGGATAATAAATAAGAGGCATTTGAATGGCCCTAGATAATCGGAGGAGCAGTCATCGGGGCTTGGCACAAGAGGTACAACAACGCCAGCAGTGAGAGGAACGACAAGGCCAAAAAGCATCAAAACAGTATTTATTCCGAAAGACAAGGCACCTTGCTCGACGAAACGAAGGTGGAAAGCTCCTTGTCGAAGCGTAACGTGATGACAGGAAGTAGATGCATGAGATACGTGAGCACCCCAAAGTCCTCACGCATGCTATCCCTGCTCGACACGCAACATCATGCACGGAGAACAGACATGTACGCACCAGTTTGTTGCTTTTGCCGCGAACAGCGGTGGTTGGAGGGGCGGGGTTGGCCCGGGGGCAGGGGGTGGTCAGAGCGGGATTCCTCGAACAAATGCATGTTGTAGGGCGACGAGCAACACAAGGAAATGTGGGACGAGAAACTATACAAACGATTGCCCTAACTGGCTCGCCCATCCCTCAAACCGAAGTTTTCCGCAGGTTAAAAGACCAGCTGACTCGATATTTATCGCCGAATCGGTAGCAAGCTTGTTCCTTGCTGGCTCGTAAACCATCCAGGTACCACGCATCTACTTCTACAAAGCCCGTACGTCCTAGTTGGCTGAGAGACAATGACTCATAACACAAAAAACATCAACTTCCGGCACCATTCCCGCCGAAAGTTCTCACCGAAAAAAATAGTGGCTGACCCTCTCGGTCAGCGCATAGGTCAGCTCGGTGTTGCTGGTGACCAGGAGCAGCACCGAAACGACGTCGTGGAACCCCTGGTAGTAGTTTAGTACTCCGTCGTACTGCCGTGCGATTCCCGATTTTTCCACGGAGCGAGGTTAGGAATTGATCGTCCGTTTTGGGAGGCCGGGAAGGGAAGGGGTTCGAGTCTGAAACGAAACACTAGTGACACACACATGCATGTCATGAAAAAGACAAGAGGGCAGTGCCTTGACGTGAGGTATGTAGGGTTCTACATAGCTCCAATAAAAAACAAGCGACCGGTGTAGACACTTACGGACGTCCACGAGAAAAACATCAAAACTGTGCTTTCATACCTATCGCACCGAATGCTTGAAGGAAGCGAAAAAGCGACCAAATGAATTGTGATCTGTCGAAACACTTCGTTCACTGGCACATATCAAATTTTTAGATGTACAAGCGCCGCAAAACCCAAACTACGAGAAATACTAGGGCTAGACATGCAAACAAGCTTGGTATTTATTCCGTAATCAAACCTTCCGAACCACAGCGTTGATGACGTCACGAAGCTTTTCTCTCTTGCTCTGCAGTCGCTGTCGTTTCCATCTGATATGCACAATGCACAATGCACAACGTATCGCAGCACAACCCAGCACAGCACGGTCTACCACTTAGATCAGCCGAGGTCGAAACAGTTCTGCCGAAAATCTCTAGCGTAGCCTTAACCATAGAGTAATTTTGGTATCTGGGAGTAAACATACCCACCCCCGGTTGGCGAAATAACCTCGTACGCTTGCTCTGCGGCAAAACTACAGGAGGAGGGGGCATCAAAGCCAACAAATTCATCTTGTTCAAGCATTGCCCTCCTGCCCCTTGCACACTTGGGGCGATAGAGCAATGCAGAGGATAGGGCGGTACGGTTTTTGGGGTGCACTACGGGAACAAAACAAAGCGGAAGAATCGTGAAGACACAACGGGAAATCGACACAAACGCAGCAGTCGGGGTCACACTATGAAGTATGCCATGAATACAAAAAAATATGTATAACGAGTAACTCACTTTCGAATGTGCAAAAAATGTGTGAGCGATCGATCTATGTCTCTTTGAATCTGGTCCGTCATGGGATGGGGAGTTTCCAAGTGATGTCGGAAGTCCAGGTCTTGAAGGCCGTGCCGGTCGAGACAGAGTAGCTTTGGCCACGCCTTCATGCGAACCTCGTCCGTCTGAACAACCGAGTGATACAGGATGAATACGTTGAAAACGGGGGTGAAAAGAGGGAATCGGACGCGTTCGTTTGGAACGAGAAGCCTTTCCTCGTTCGAAAGGAAATGCTGTCAGAATCGACGCGACCATGTGTATCAAAAGGCTCCAACGTAGTTAGCACCCGTATCATGAGTTGTGTCTACTCCGAGAGGCCGATCAACTCACCTCGAAAACGTGACAAACCCGACGTTGTTGTGAAGGGACTGAGGGAACAAAGCATGACAATGGTGGGCGCTCGCTGCAAGTAGAGCGAGTTTGACCCGATCAAGCCAACGTTGCATCAAGCGCAATAAAACATGAGACAATCCGTGAGTCGGTTGAGAGGTAAGCACAACGTTCTTGGCAGACATGGGGCACCCATGCCAAAAGGTTCTCGGATACTCTTATGTGTATCCCGAGGGCGTTGTTGAGCAGCTGCCAGCACGTCGGTACGTGTGCCCCGGTTACAGTGACAAAATGAAAATCATCTAATTGTGGTGCTTCGCAGTAAGAGACAAAATGAATCACACAGGCACACCGACGGGGGGGGAGACCGATACATCGATATACCATTTCTCACTAGCGGTTCGCCCGATGCAAACCCCAGTGGCGGCCCTCGAAATGCTCAACCTGTCCGTTACAGCCCTCTTGTTACTTACTTTTGGTAGATCAACGTGCTCCTGCGCTTCGCTCGCTAGTGGGACTAGGTGTTGTTGGGGTTTGTACGTTTGTACATACTATAAGGGCTGCTCTACGTGTCTGGCGCAGACTGCGAAAGATACTATCAGGAGCTATTACTAGGGGCTCCGTTCAAGAGTTGTTTTCGCGACTACGGCGCGCACCCATGTCGAACAAGGAGGATACCAATCTCATCGTGACGCCGTCATTCCGAGCCAATCAGCAGCGCATCATCGACTTCGGCGCGTGTATGTTTTTGACATATTGTAGCGTGACTGCTGTCGTTTTCAACTCTTATGGATCTGCTGAATGACCAGAAGAGTCCCTCTAGCGGGCCCTTTTGGAGCATCTCCGTCGGGGCGCCCTCGCCTGCTTGGGGTGGAGGGTGGTCGCCCCTCGCCTCGTTGCCGTTGCACTGAAATATAAGAGGCTGTTCGGTGTGGACATTCTCAGGCGTGGGGGGCTCGGTCATACTTTACCACCCGTCGAGGCTATTTCCATGCCCAGGACGGAACCGAAAAAGAAAGCAGCCTCACCCCGAATTATCTGCGATGCCTCGTTCAATTTGAGCTACAACAGCCTATTGTATTCAGAACTTAGAACTTTGAAGAGAGACCGCTGCCTCCCATCATCACCCACAAAACGCACCTGGTACCCCCCCTTCTCCCACGCCAGGTTACGGAGCTTCTCTAGGTCCACAGGCACCATGAGCAGCAGGTTTTGTATGGTCGCTATCGAAACAGGATCACCCTCACAACCCGCCCCCCCCTCGTGCTCGGCCTGATTTCTTCTCGCATCGGAAGCTGTAGCAGCCGTCGCATTACTACCCCCCCGCAAGGTTGTCGCATCGGCTGAGATAGACGACGAGTTTTCTGTCCCGTGCTCCTGTTCCTGCCCCCCTCCTGCTTGATTTCGCGTCGCATCTCGCGAATCTTGGTCGTCAACGGGTACACCACCGCTACAACTGTCTCCTTCCACCGACACCGGCAGCCCCTGCACACCCGTGCTTTTGTGCGATGGAGACGGGCTGTCTCCTTCGTTGTTGCTGCTCTCCTGTTGCATGAAACACAACGGACTGCATTATTCAGGCGGTAGTGTGTGTGTTCGTCCCATCTATTCTGGCGCCGGTTTACAGGCCTTTCGGCATACGTGCCTCACGTATCGGCCGGGGTCACACAAGAGGAAGGTCACACGGGGGCTTTTTTCAATATTTGTTTTTGTTTTGTTGCCCCACCTTTCCCCCTGGTGTGGTTGCCTTGGTTTTTATCGCGAGAAGGGTTCCGCCATCCCTTTCCCTCGTCGACCGTAAGCCGAAGTGTTTTTGCTCACGACCTCTAGATCGATTTCGACTACAGGTACGCATAGCTGGCAAGAAAATACCGGGAAAAAATAAGTAGTGCAACAAAAAATGACGATACGCCGACGAGTGTATGTGGCACTGCTAAATGGGGATAGGTTGGGTGCTTGGAAATCTTGTCAAAAATTTTGAAGAGAGAAAAAAAAATGCGGCTGGAGAGGAGTGTCTACGTGTCTACAATGGAGCATGCTCATGTTAGCCCACTACACACCATCGGGTGTACGTAAGTGTGCAACGCACACACCTCAGAAATAAACTATTCGAAGTACACTGTTTGTGCAGAATCCTGCAGAAACCAAACTGTCAGCAGCCATAATATTGTGACCGCATTTGTCTGCGGTTGGCGAGCTACCTGAGGGTCAACCATGTCTACACAGCTAGTGACCTGCGCTACATAGCCTCCTTCCGGCGGCAGCTGTTGCCCTAGAAGCTCGTTGATGCCACGCCGTGTGCATACCATACAGCAGTACCACATGACGAGTTATATATCGATCTGTATTAATGTCAGTCATTCAGGTATCTCACGCTATTGCAAGAGAGCAATCAGCAATCAAGGAGTGTAGTCCCTTCCACCCCCTCCAAATTCGAACCGTCTCAGGGCGAGGGGCGACGGTTTATACCGGTGTGGACTGGTGCTGTGCAACACCGACACCTACGAGAGTTGCTGACTCGTCGTCGAAAAGTGGTGGGAGAAATTTTGGCCATTTTCCCATCAAAACCAACCTATCTCACCTCGTTCGTCAATATCATATTATCTGTCATGACAGGCTGGTGCAGCAGGCAGAGCGTGGTCCTGATGCACAGCAGTAGCTGCCAGCAGAGACAGCAGCGGGCAGTTTCCAACACAGGGGCTCCGCACATATCTTGATCAGCTCTCGGGGTTTCGTGGAATTTGTGTTGGCTTTTGTTTTTGCTCTCGCGCTCTGTGGCGGTGTGGCGCGCGGCACGTGTTCGTGTCGCGCGAGACTCGCACACATGAGAGCGAAAAAGGGAGGACAAGATCGAGACCCAAACAACAAAGTTAGATATAGAGCGCGTGCCCAAACGGAGCAGGCTTCCCTTGGGACCTATGCGTGATTCGCTGTCGTTGCGCAAGCTTTCATCCCGCGGCGATCGCCCCACGCGCCAGAAAACGGCAGAAATGAAAGACCGAGGTCGGCGCTCAGCCAGGGGAGGGAGCCCGTCCGCGCCGCGCAAAAACTCTTCGGAGCCGGTGATTAACCACTCCTCTTCGCGCAAGCGAACTCATGGAAGCACGCTGAATCATCAGAAGGGGGCGCCAACATCTCGCATTTTTCAAGATCGGTCGTTCCAAGTCTCGCCCTCTCCCACGCACCGAAAGCGCGGGAGACCTTACAAGGAAGAGAGGATGATGGCCTCGTCGACGAAGACCAGGGAGAAGAAGAGAGAGAGGAAGGGACGGACCAGAGGGAGGTCTTCATCGACCGCCCAGCACGGGTGGGTACAGCAGGTGACACCTTCTTCGGGCGACGTTACCCTTGCTCCCAGCAGGCCCTCTTCCTCCAGAATGAGGGAATCACGACCATCTTCAAGACGTGCTGCCGCTGGGTCTGCTCCGGATTCTTCCTCCGTTGTACGCTCAGCTCCTTCGGCTGTTTCTGAAACAACCGCTACCTACGCGCCGCCGGCGTGGCCCTTCCTGGAGCAGAAGCCTCAGCGACAGACTCGCCAGCGCCCGGTCGACCCCGACAAGTTGATAAAGGTCTGCGTGGAAAGAAGCGACAGCGGTGGTGACAACATGTCATCGTCAAACTCATCTCGTGGCAGAAACAACTCGGCTCAACAAAACCAGGCGGTTCAAAATCCAAATTTGGACCACCGAGAAAAATACCCAGCATCGTCCGTCGCGAATGCTAGCAGCAGCAAGGCCAGCAGGGGTGGCACTTCTTCTAGACCCCACAGCAACGGCATCGCGAATAGGACCGTAACCTCTTCTTCCCGTCGGCACGTGGTCCGTTTCAGCAGCGGCGTCGCCTCACGCTTGGGCGGCACATCCGAAAGGCCGACACCGCCGTCCTTAGCCTCCAACACCACGACCACAACAACTCCTGCTGTTTCTGCACAGGTATCCGCGGCTACGGCAACGGGAGAAGGCGGGACGAGGGTAGACGGGCGGGAAACAGAAGCAGCCAAGACGGATAACGTGATATGCCCTCAGTTTCGTCTTCACAATCTTTTTTGCACCGGCACCGCCACCACCACCACCACCGCATCGGATAACGACGACAACCAAAGCGGCCAAACTTCGGGGAAACCAACACTCGGTCCTCGCCGTAAGCGTCCGGTCAAGACAGAAGCTGGAGCCACCCGTGAGGGAAGATCCATGGCGCCGCCCCGTCGAAGTGCCTCAGCTTGCGGGGGTGGTGGAGGAAAGCAGGTCGGGTTTCTGGATCAGACGAAGGATGCGCTTGTGCGCTCGACGCAGGCCGTGTTCGGCAGCGACTACGACATGGATGACGATGACTTCGCCTTCTTGGAGCAACTGAACGGTGGTAGGAGCGCCGGAGGAGGCTCGAAAATGGCGACGGGGGGTGTTTTTCCGGGAGAGAAAGGGTGGGCTGTCAGCGCAAACCTGTTTGAGGGGATGATCGAAAGGCTGGAGCGCCAGGAGTCTCGTGCGCGTGATGTGAGTTTCCTGTGTTGGATGAGGAGTAAGGATTTGTCTGCACATGATGTTTAAGAATATAAAAATAAAAAATACTTCTATTTATTGTTACTGACGGGTTATAGCAATACTGCTGTAGTTTGTCGGAGCATGTACATGATAAGAATACGGGAAGCACCGCCCGGGAACTGTACAAGACGTGACACTTACAGAGTGCTTGAACACATTTCAGACACAACATTTCTCGGTCACTATCGGTGTTGTGGAGTTGTCACCATTGCCTTTGGAAAAAAGAAAAGAAAAAAGGGGGGTGGTATCTTCCGTCATCATACTCTGGTATGTACGGTTACGCTGTATGCATACGACGAACGTGAAACTATCGTCTCCCCGAGTATTTCAAGGAACGCTGTGCTTGTCGGTAGTTAAATACTTGTTCGTTACTAGCGGACGTCTGTCGGCTTACTGTTTTAGGAAGAACGGACCACATAAATGACAGCCCGTTACAATAACACAAAATTGTGGTGCCTCTCCTGTGCTACGCCAGCTGATACATAGGTACCGAAGGTGTAGACTTGTGGCAGAATAGATGAGACGAAATCAGTCAAACAATACAGGACCGAGTTGAAGTCCGTGTAAGCAAATTCAATGATGGCGACCGCGACAACAAAACACTCGGTAGTGGTAATAGTATTATAAGATGCCGAAACAAACTCTGCTAGACGAGGTGGCCTGATATACAAAGAATGAAAACCTGTTGACAGCGGAATCTGCCAAACCCCGAAGCCCGTTTTGTTGAAGGCACCCAACTACCATTGCACCGTTGGCAGCCACCGTCAGAATATCTTGGAAATCTATTCGAAGGGCGACGTACTTGGGGTTCCATGTGTAGTACCCCTGGGTACCAGGTCTGGCAGTCGTCTGATGTTGACGGAGTTGAGCTTGCCAATTGGGGTTGTTATTCTGGTGTTCCGCCTGTGATACTCCGTCCTCGTCCGCCGCCGTGAACCAAGCGAGCCACAGTCGTTAAATGCTAGTCCACCCCCCACGAAACATGTGTCGCACCTAGTCTACCGTTTTCTATGTGAACAGAAGCAGAAGTTATCACCAAGAACAAATCATCCTGAACATCATGTATCTCTGCTTTGGTTACAGGCGACGATTATTGTCTGTTCTGTAAGTCGCCTAGGTTAAGTTTTTTCGTTTCTTCGTACACTAGAATTGTGCCCTGACAGACGCCTCTTTTGAATTTCCGAACGCCCCTCTTTCCCGTCGTCCTATTTTGTTCAGACTATGGTCCTGGTGGAGGCATCCCTTAGACTCAAGGAAGAGCATGCCGATGCTGCGAAGCGTGTGGACCAGTTCATCAAAGAAGGAGACGCGGTCCTGAACTTTGCTGCGGGGGTCACAGAAGATGATGACTCCTCCGCCCGCCGCGGACGCTCAGGCAGTAACGGCGTCGATGGCGGCGGCGGTGGCGGCGGCGGTGGCGGTGCGACTAGTGACGTCAGCGGTGGTAGCAACAGCGACGGACACACGAGTGATTCCCACGGCGGCGGCAGTAGTAGCAGTGGTCGTAGGCACGGTTGCGGCAGCACCAGCAGCACTGGCGGCAGACGGCGTAAGAAACACACTGGTTACGTGCAGGAAGAGGACTCGGACTCGGATGACGGGGAACGCCACGCAAGGATCATGCGCTCCCGTGGACCCGTTACCCTGACGGAAACGTTCGCGTTGCCATTGCTACGCTCGTACGTAACGGCGTTCAAGACATACTCGGACACCCACCGGGGCGCCACCAACGTAGGCAGTGGCTTGGCCGGAGCACGGGAAACGGCATCTAGGAGATCGAAGGGCTGGAAGGGAAAGGGGAAACAGCCGGCTTCGCGCAGCGGCAGGAGTTCCGGAGGGAACGAAGAAGAGGAAGAGGAAGAAGACCGAGCGGCGGTGTCGGACGATCAGCTGCTGGATGTGTTCAGGTACTGGGCAAAGAAACGCGAGGCTTACGGAGGCCCGATGCTCCGGTGCTTCCACCCTTTCATCATGAAGCTATGGCGCCGAATGGAGGACCCGGTCAGGGAGGTGAGCTACCCGTTGATCTTAAAAAGGTTGGCTAGATACGATCCGGTTCGGCGTTGCGGTGCGATCATGCCACACGTATCCGTGACCAAACGTGCCTGGGTTACAAGTTGCCGCTTTTTTGTGTGTGTTGTGTTTGAGCTGTGCGTGCGTATACGCTTGTCGCACATCGATGCAACACACAAGTTGGTGCTCACACTGTTTGCACACATTGGAAAAGTCTCACGCATGCATTGCGTCTTGTTGGTGTGCCTGTCGTTCGTACTAGGTCCACGAGTCCGAAATATGGTTGATGACACGCCTTCCAATTTGATAACAGCAACCTATTTTCGTCGTGCTGGGCTAGGTTTTTGGGTTCTATCGGCTTGGCGTTCAAACCACGGCCAAGGTGGCTTTTAGTACGACAGTAATTTGTTACTATTTCAGCAGAATTGACACCGAGGGGGGACGTATGTGTAGGATCTTCTTTTTCTCAAGGTGCAAATATGCAAGTGGAGAGGTTGCGCTCACAGTTTTTTGTTGGTCACTACCTCCTTTCTTGTTCAGGCGGAAGATCAGGAGGAGGGGAAGGACCCGCACGCGTCCCCGGAGGCATTCGATACGCTCAAGAGTTTCCGACAGGTACTGCTGAATGACGTATCAGCATCGTGGTGTCCATGAACGAACACACGCCGACTTGCGGCTACCTACCGAATGAGTCTTAGATTCGCCCTGACGATCCGTTCGGAACGCCTGTGTGTAACATGTTCTTCACTACTGCCGTCAACTCTCTGTACTCTTGTCGAACACCTTATTACGTCGGTACCATACGCTTTTATGTTAGTCTTTCCCTTGATCGTAGTTTTTGTTGCTGTTTTCCTGCCTATAAATATTTCTCCTTTTCCCCATCCACCTCGTCACGAATTGTTAATTACACCTTGTTTGCTTGTGCATTCGTTAGTTTGACGAACACTCCGACCCTTTGCTACCCTCCACTCAACCGTGCTTTCCCCCCACCAACACAGGACCTTGACAAAGCTCGGCTGGTGGTGGACTGCGTCAAGCGCCGCGAAAAGCTCAAGAGATCTGCGATCCGCTTCGCCAATGCCTACTGGAAGATCTTTGATGACACCATGGATGCGCCCCGCCCACGCACACCCAGGCCTTCCCAACCAAAGGTGACCACAACCCCGGCTGCACCACCGGCTGCGCCACCGCTGCTGTCCACATCTGCCCGCCCTTCCACTCGCCGGGCTGCAAGGACCACAAGCGGGGCGGTCAGCAACGGTGTCAACGTTGACGGTGGTGGTGCTAGTGGGGCCGGAGGGAGCCGTAGCAGTGGACGAGCGGCAGCCGCAGCGGCTAGGGCGGCGGTGGCAGCCCTTGCTGCTGCTGAATCGATGGAAGAAGACGATTACGATGCGGGTGTGGAGGAGCAAGAGCATGGTGGGGAGGGAGAACGGGAGGAAGAGGTACCACTGCCACCACCGCTACCGGCAAAATTGAACGGCAAGGCAGGGGGGTTGGCGGAGCAGGAACAAGGCTGGAACACGTTCGCACAGCTGCCGACTCGGGCGGTAGCTATCCCCACTTCAGTACGGCCCTCGAGGCAGAAGAAAAAAGGACCAGGGGTACAGCGTGGGAGAAACGAGGTTCGGGAGCGCGCGTTGCAGGCGGTGGCTAACCCTGCTCGAGGCCTGTTCGTGCACCGTGGCGTGGCTGGGGGCGATGTTGCCGTGGACCGCCGCCACGAAAGGCTGAACTCGAGAGCGGTGGAGCTGGCGGAGAAAGATGAGGCGATTCCTGGGGCTCCGCAGCACCAGCGCTCCACCAACTCAAGCAAGCCGGCGGGAGAGGCCGCACCACCGGTCAATGCTGAAGAGAAAATAGACGAAAGAGCGAGGCGCCGGGAACGTTTTAACTCGGCGTCCTCGGCTGCTCTTGCGCAGCAACAGGCGAGCCGTCGTCAGCAATCAAACCGTCAGCAATCAAACCGTCAACAATCGAGCACTCGGCAGTCGAGCCGTCAACAGCCAAGCCGCCAACAGCCAAGCCGTCAACAGCCAAGCCGTATGCATCGGCTTCGAGAGCCGCAATCAGAGGTGGTTCAGGCGGACGAAGAACAGGATGATAGCGCAGAGGTCCAAGATCTCAAAGCCCCCACTGCGGCTGGACGCGTGAGTCGGCGGGGTGGCGCTGGCTTACGAGACGGAGTTGCAGGTCGGCGGGGAGTTCGGGGTGCAAACGAGCCCGAGAAGGTGAACGAGGCCCGCAACAACAAGACGAAAAAGCGACGCAAGGCTGCCTTTGGACCCGAGGACGCTGAAGAAGAGAGCAACAATTTCGACGGTGCAACCAAGGGGCGTCAGGTGACGGCGCGTGGATCTGAAAGGACAAAGCGCCGCCGGCTGGACGAGAACACCAATGTCGAGAACGGAGCGCTGAGCAACGTGAGGCAGCACCGCGCAAGGTCATCTTCTGCCTCTTCCTCTTCATCCTCTGACCACCCGTCCATCTCCAACACGAGAGCAAGCCGGTCGGAAGCGGCAGTGGTGGTAATGGAAGATGTTCCGATGTCGCCCAAGGCGGCCGTGATGTTGCCTGGAAGCAAGAACCACAAGACCACCTCCAGGTCTGGCAGGCGCAAGTCCAGGTTTGCCAACGATGGGCGCAGTAATCGCGCATTGGCGCGTCTGTCATAAGCCCGAGGCCACAATTTTTTCGCTCGACAGGAGTTTTCGATGATGAATTTAAGGAAGAGCTTTCGGGAGTGAGGGGCAGCGGATGCGTGCGAGACCTGCGACGGGGAAAACGGGCAAGGGAGAACTTCTGTGAAACGGGGTGATGGCTTGCTTAGCTCGAAGGTGTGCTTTTGCGGTCGCTGTTGTATGGCCGTCCGAAACGTGCGTTGTTTGTCAGCAAAGCGGGTGCGGCTGGCCCCCCGCGTCGGGTTCTGGCAAGAGGCAGCCAAAAGACTTGTTGTTGTGAGCTTTTTTGCCCGGTCATCGGTGCGGCACATGCTGCCAGCCTTGGCAGATGGATTGATCGATTTTCCTAGACACGCTATGCGGACGGTGGTCGTTTTTTGCTGTGCTCCATTTTTGCCTTCGAGGATTGTTGCCGCCGCCGACATTCCCTCCTGTCGTCACCTTGGCCGTGTCTCGACATGTTGGGCTTTTTAAGCGCCGTGTCTCGACATGTTGGGCTTTTTAAGCGGTACCAACCACACGACTGTCGTAAGGTTGTCGTGGTTGGCAAGTCTCGCGCGGTGCGCTGCTGCGGAGTCCGTCGTCATCGTGAAGAGGCAAAAGAAAACGTGGGGGGCACATTGCAGCGAATATCTTGGTGTAGATGTGCCATTGGCAAAGTGTCAACACGACATGCAGTTGCTTGCACAGGGGTGTTCTAGGACGGACCTCGTACCCGCTGCAGTGGATGGCTCTTGTTGACAAGTGTGACTGCTGTGTTTGCTGTTTATTGCCGATGATGGGGCGCGGTGGCGCGAAAGGCCTATGGGAACGGACGCTGAGCTGCGTGGGTTGATTTTTTTTTGTTGTTTTTTTTTGAAAAAGTGGTAGCGATTGGCTGGGGCTTGGTTGAATGCGAGAAATGATTTCCGCGCTAAGTTTTGTTTCCTGCTTGGGTACCGTACCGCAGTCGATCGAACTGCTTTATGTATGATTGTGGATTTAGCGGTTCCCACTTGAGCACATGGTGACGATGTTCATTTGTACTAATATAGGTTGTGGGCGATGGCAGGATGATCAAGTGAATATAGAGTATATGATTTAAGGACATCACGAAGTTCGAAGAAGCTGTTCGTTGACTTAAATGTGCGGTAAGAAAATAATGTGATGGGTGTAGAGAGGTTTGTCCCGTTTTGGTTGGGGACTCCCACGAGGATGACGATTCTGCGCCTTGGAGTTAGTTTCATTTTGCCAAAAATGGGAAGACCGGTTTGGCACTAGGGTACGTTGAGGGTCTGTTTTGTGTGTTAAGGTATTAAACGTGAGATGAATCCTTGCGCTTGTTTTACCGATGGGTTGGACATTTGTTTCGACAAGCGCTAATAAAATACGTCTCTCACGACGGAGCTCTAGAAATCGCCCTGCTGGGTGTTTGTACTTGCTCTTATCTCCATGATTTTACCATGCATGGCGGTAACGCAATGGGACTCCAGATTTGTTCCGGGAATTACGAAGACAAATTACATGGTCGAGTTTACGATCGCTGACAATGAGAATTTACACAAGGGTTGCGTGGGAGCTATAGCTATCCCATCTCATGCAGATCCATCTGTCGAGAAAAAACATGGAGGTCTGTTTCGGACCATCTCTCGAGAACACAGCGTGGCCGGCAAAGCTTCGTCAAGGACTTCAGCTGCCCCGCTTGGAAATCAAGTTGCGGCCACATGTACGCAAGTTCCCTAGTTGGCACGAAAGAGCGACACAGGCCAGGAAAAGACTCCACCACCGAACACGTCTTCACACGTTTTCCGCGCGAAGATACACACCTGTTTTTCGCATTTTTTGCTGGAACGTCACAAATCCCGACGTGAATGAAGTATACAGGAAGGTGGAAATGAAGACCACCCGGTGTCGGCGAATGAGTAAACCATTACCTTCAACCTTGGGTTCGTTTGAAGTGGGAGGGTACCCGCAGCCGTTCGGTCCAGAAAGGGCGCTTTTCAAAGTCATTGTTTCGCAATTGCATGGTGAGTAAACCATTACCTTCACCAACCTTGGGTTCGTTTGAAGTGGGAGGGTACCCGCAGCCGTTCGGTCCAAAAAGGGCGCTTTTCAAAGTCATTGTTTCGCAATTGCATGGGATGGTCGAAACTTCAGGCGCTCGTTCACACACTGCTGTGACCTGTGACGGCGTGCTTGAGTTTGGACCTGTGTTAGACCATCCCCCCGTCAGCGTTGCACGAACTGCCCGCGGCAACGGCCTCGGGTGGCGACGAAACGGCAAGGGGCTGGTCATCGACCCCAAACACGACTGCTCCGCGTGGAGTCCTCGCCAACACCCTGAAACCACAAGCTTTGTGCCCACTCTAATGCTTGTTTATCTGGGACTTGGGAAGATAACCTGACCGACTACGTGCGACTGAGACAAACGCAGGTTCATGAAAAACAGAGTAACCAAGGCACAAATTTGACCAAAGTGGAACCTTCAAAAACTCGCTCTTAACTCACGAAAAAGAATAACTCAGTGCGGCGGGATGTGCTTTGTTGATCCAACGCTTTGTACACATCAAAACATGAGCTTCCGACAAAAATACCAGCTATCCGCAGATGCAGACCTACGAGCAACACACTAGGTTCGGTCATGTCGCCTGCCCCCACCCACCGCCCGCCATGCTTCAAAACTGCGGCAAAATCATATCAGATCGATTGAAAGAAAGCGAATTCAACTTCATTCAAACGGAATTTCAATCAAGCCGTTGCGGGCTGTGCCCCAGCGGCGAAGAACTCCGCGAAGAACTCGGGCCCGGCCCTCTTCTGCTCGCGCCGATTTTACACGTCGGGTAGTCATCGCCGCCGGCAACAAGCGCGCAGGAAGGTCACAAACACACACACACACACAGTATGCGCGTGTGGCAGCAAAGAGAAGAAAGGAGGGAGCCAGAGAGAGGGATCGAGGGAAAGAGAGAGAAAGGGAATAGAGACAGAGCGAGCAAGAGAAAAAACACGACAAGAGTATCGTTGTCAGCAGGTTGTCAGCAGGCTCCGTGGCAACGGATAGTAGGACCGGAGATGAAGGTGGGGGAGGGGCATGGCATGGATGGATATAAGGAAAGGCTATTCAGCGGCCTCCTCCCGCTCACGGTGGGCGGAACAGCCTACACGGAACAAAGAAACGAACGGGCCGCAACTTCATCAAGTAGAACAAAAATTAAAAACACGGACGGCAAAAAAAGGAAAGAACGAAAGAGGACAGGGAAGGTGCGTGCGAGAACCGCCGGGGGGGAGGGTTGTAGGCTTGGTTCTGGGAGCACACTTCACTAGCGTACAGCGGTACCTTGAGCTCCATCCCCGCATCGTGGCCCATTGCCACGGCATCTTCCGGCTTGCCCTCGCGGGTGGTGTCGTAGAACTGCTTGCCGTCTGGGCTTGCGATCAGCCCCCGGAACACAAGCTTTTCTCCCTCCATTCTCGCCTGATATTGATGCCATTGGTTGGCAGCACAGCAAAACGATTTCTGACGAGTGTCATCGTCAGCTTTGCCAAGTTTCGCATGTGCAGTGTTTGTGAACTCGAGACTCAATTCAAGCCTCATCAGAAATCAACAACATCCGCTCAACACATGATCCGTGAAAGCTAGGTTAGCTTGGTAAATAAATTCTCGTCTGCCTCGAGGACATACAGGTCCACATGGGTTGACTGGCGTTACGGCGGTGTATAAGTTGCCCAGAAATGGCGTGTGAGAATCGTTATGGGTGAAAGAGCGAGAGGATGGATGAACGGTGCTTCAAGTGTCTCCTCTTGTATGCATAGTTGCATAATTTCTTCTTCGACGAGTTTGTTGCCTAAAATTACCTGCCCTGCGATGGGGGTCTTGCAGTTGCCGTCCAACGCAGCGAGGAAAGCACGTTCACAGTCCACAGCCGTCTGCAACACCGTGGCACAATGTGACCGCATGGTCACACCAACGAGGAGAGCAAGACATACACACGGCAGTGCACACGCGCAAACGTAAGAAAACCAACAACAGGTGACGAACCGGTCAAACCATAGTTGTCCACAACATCACAGAGTGAATCACGACACTCGGAGTGTCGGTGATTGGGGGAAACCACAAGTAAAGACAAACAAAAACGACATCATTCATACACTGCACAAAGCGCACACCAACGGCTAAGTGCCAATATGAATACCTGCTTACACCGCACAACATCGTGACATTCATTCAGTTTGGCTTATACGCGGCTTCCAAGTACCCGGCATAGTGGCGAACACCGTCTCTTGCTGTCCAACCAAGGCCTGCTTCGTTACTGTACGCGATGCATGCAATCATAACAACCCCCGCTATTATAGTACGTTCTGCAATCCCACCATCATGATATTTCGGTACTGAGTGCGGTATGGCCCTATAGCGTACTCTCGTACCCTTTCTTTTTATTCTTGCCGTCCATCCACGTGCCCAACCAACAACAAACCTCAAAACACCTTGCCATAAATAGTTGCGTAAAACAAGCTCATAAACGTGTTCCACCATGAGTCCACCCCAAAACTCTCACCAACAAACACCACCCAATCGACACGAACGGTACCTATCTACCGCATGTTTCAGGCCATGGCCATCTCGGTTACATTACATGTACAGTACCTCACCTTGGTCTCCTGGTGGCACAACCCGGCGAGGTACTTCTCGAAGGTGGGGTCGTTCTCTCGGCACTGTATTCCGATCGCTCCCTGAGCGACTGCCGGAAGCATCGCCTGCTCCATGCAAACGAAACAACAATTAACAACAGCGGCATCCACGGGGGCGGGGTGGGTGGGGGTTCGCGAATACTCGCAAATTTTAGCTTGGTGGGGTTTGGCAACATGATGAAGGGCACAAAAATCGATTCTAGAAAAAACCTTGTATGCGAAAAACCCACCCAAACCAAAGGCCTGCAGACGTCTCTAGACCACGGAATGTAGAGGGATAAGACGGACAGATGTTGAGAAAGACCTCGAATGCAAGTGCACCCGTCAACACCGTGTGCTATTATCATTATATAATTATCTACACGCCGACAGACAACCTGGCGCGACACCGTAATAAATAGCATCCCAATCCTAGCCAAGGTGGAAACATGAAATACATCTGCGCGACCACATTCAAAAAGGGAGAGAGTCGTGGACGACGTTAGGTGTCGGATAAATTTAAGCAAGAGACACAGCCTCACATCTTGGTCCAGTACAGACGTGGCCACCTGGGCCATCTCCAGCCGCTTCAGTCCCGCGAAGGCCAGCAGGGTTGCTGCCGGGAGGAAGGAAAGGGGTGCATAATTGAAATGGTACAATACGTGCACTATGTACGATACGACAGCAAAATAAATAGTTCAACCCACAAAACTAAAAAGCCATTATTTTCCTCTGCAGTCAGGCAACGAGGAATGTCGAGACAAAAAATGTTAAATCCGGAGAGCAACAAATAAATTCATGCGTGGAGGATGCCAAGGAAACACAAGGGTAGGGGAAGCGAGGACTGACGTGGCAGGGAGACACTTATAAACATGTGTCGCATGGCATGCAAACGGACGAATCAAACACTCTCCAACACGTTAACCTGGTACAATGCTAAGCTTACCATCTGCGCCCCTGCTGGGAAAAACTATACATGAAATACACGCAAGGAATGGCAAGCACACCTTCAACTTCCCCAATGGCAGCAGCAACAACCGTATGTTAACCTACCATCGACGATCTCCTCGTCGAGCTTCCTGAGGCGCGTCTGCACGTTGCCGCGGAAGTTGACGACCTTGAAGGTCGGGTTAGCCCGCAGCAGCTGCGCCTGACGGCGCAGTGATGCCGACCCGATCACGGACCCATCTGCAGACCGATGTCGTCACAGCAGGCACAAGGCAGATGAGAATATCGATACACAGAGAGCGAGAAGGTCGAGTCCACGGCGAGATCATCGAAATGTGACGAACGGTTAGGAGGGAATGCGACTACTGCTGCCTTTCAGCGCGTCTGTGTCTCGAACAAACTGGGAGACTAACTAACTAGGTGAGAGCCGAACCACACACGTGCGGGCAAAAGCTTCTGCCGCCGGTCACGTCATCGTGGGATGTGCAATTAAAAACACGAAGACGTGCCGATAGCGACATAGAGCGATGGCTGGAGATACGCAAAGAGGCAAGAAGCCGTCCGTGACAATCGATTCATAACCTCAGCACAAATTCGTCAGTCACGTTGTCGTATCCTGGACTTGAAAACGAAAAACGAGCCCACGCGGCAGAGCTAGCTCTACCCCCTCCCCCCCGAAACACACACACACAGACGTGTTCTTTGTTTTCATCATGTCTCATCTCACCGGGCAGGGAAGCGATGTTGTCGGCCTTGTTGGAGATGAAGGCATCCGAGGTATCCTCACGAGGGAGGTTGCAAGGGAGGATGGTTCCCGGCACGATCCACGTTGGCACGTCCTTCATGCTGTGCACGCAGATGTCGACGTCCTTGTTCTGAAAACATAAGGATACAAAAGTCGCCCTGAGGCTACTGGAGACTGCATGTACATTGGGGAAACTCGTTCTTCTGTGTTAAAACGCCAGGAAGCCAGACTTTGAAAGTACGAAGCAAAACGAAAGCAAAACCTTGTACAAGAACTGATCACCGCCTAGTCTGTTTGGGTGATGACGTTTTCTGTGTCTCAATACGGACGAGCAACATCACTTTGAAAACAAAAACGTGTCGAGTAGGAGCTACATAGTCAGTGAGCAGTTGCACGTGTAGCCCGTCGACGAAGAGGTGCGCTCAAATACAATACAACAGCACCGCCGTTTGGGGGTAGCTGTGCCTAAAAAGTCGGTCCTTGGGAACAAATGTTTGGAAGGAAGAACTTACCAGCAACTGCACATCGAGTTCCTTAGTGAAGAGTCCCTTCCCTCCGATCTCCGTCAAAGGCTTGTCCAGAATCATGTCCCCAGACGTCTTGATCACCTGAAAAATGCAGCAAAGGTATGCACGCAGCGCTAGCTTTAGTCATGGCGTGGTTGTGGAACGGGCCAACGACATCTCGGACAAGGTAAATTAAGATTCCTACACCTGATCCCGACACGTTTTCGCACACCAACCATTGATGTACGTCTTGGTATCATACATGAAACTATTTCTAGACCGATGGCTGTGGAGCACAACAGACAGTGATCGCGTGGATCCCAATGACTCTCATATCTTGTCCAACTTGCCACGATTGTCCACCGGTCGCCTGGCTAGACCTCTTGCCTCGTGTGTTGTGAGGCTTATACATTGACACTCGTAGCAATCACGCGGGCCATGTTCGCGGAAATCCACAAAAATCAGCGGAAGAAGGCTGTATATGCTGTAGTCCTTCCTTCGCGGCAGGTTGGTTAAGCCCGTTTCGCCTGAAGCGCGACACGCGATTTCGGTGTAGGTATCCGAGAGATGCGTCGCTAATGAAAGGTGGGCGGATTCGCACTTGGCGATGGTACTCTGAACAGCCGTGGCCTCGTCTTGATTGGCATCGTCCTCGATCGTGTATGTACATGTGCTTGACACGATCGGCCCGAAAAGTACGCACCCCAGAACAGCTAGCGGCAGAGCAGGTACGCTCGATCGTGTATATCTGCTTGAGACGATCGGCCCCAAAACTACGTACGCCACAACAGGAAG